CCCCCCCCCCCCTTTCCCCGAATCATTTTTTATTTTATTTATTATTTCCACCCTTTTCTCCCCCAGTTTGGCAGCGGGGGGGTTGGGCGGGGCCGACACGGCGGGTCTCTGTGGCGCAATCGGTTAGCGCGTTCGGCTGTTAACCGAAAGGTTGGTGGTTCGAGCCCACCCAGGGACGGGAAGCGTGATTTCTTTTATATTTCTTTCTTTTTTGACGTTTTATTTGGCGGGTGGGAGCGGGAAGCTGCGCCGAGGTCTTTTCTTGTGTTGCGGATGGAAAAAAAAAAGCTGGAAAAGGGATAAAATGCGGAAAAAACCACTCGGATGGGGAAAAAAGAGTAAGTTGCATTGGCCGGGAATCGAACCCGGGCCTCCCGCGTGGCAGGCGAGAATTCTACCACTGAACCACCAATGCTCCCACTGGGTGTTCGTCACGAGACCCAAAAATTATAGAATTAAGCCCAAAAGGTGTACACGGCGCGGAAAAGCCTTTGTGCCTGAGATGTGCTATTTGGGACGCCGCACTAATTAAAGGTTAGTTAATCAAACCGCCCCGCGGCGGGGGATTTGAAATTTGGCGCGCTCGGCGCTGATTGGCCCGCTGTCTGGCGGGTGGGCGGGGCCTGGAGAGGAGTCCCAGGAGCTGAGCAGAGACCCCCAGGGACCCCAGGCCCAGCAGGGACCCCCAGGGACCCCCATAAACCCCAGGGACCCCCAGGTCGAGCAGGGACCCCAGGGATCCCCAGGGACCCCCATAAACCCCAGGGACCCCAGGCTGAGCAGGGACCCCCAGGAACCCCGGGGACCCCAGGCTGAGCAGAGACCCCCAGGGACCTCCAGGCATCCCCAGGCTGAGCAGGGACCCCCAGGGACCCCAGGCTGAGCAGGGACCCCCAGGGACCCCAGGGACCCCCAGGCCGAGCAGCAACCCCCAGGGACCCCCAGGCCGAGCAGAGATCCCAAGGACCCCCAGGGATCCCCAGGGACCCCCATAAACCCCAGGGACTCCAGCCAACCCCGGGCACCCCAGGCTGAGCAGAGACCCCCAGGGACCTCCAGGCATCCCCAGGCTGAGCAGGGACCCCCAGGGACCCCAGGCTGAGCAGGGACCCCCAGGGACCCCAGGGACCCCCAGGCCGAGCAGCAACCCCCAGGGACCCCCAGGCCGAGCAGAGATCCCAAGGACCCCCAGGGATCCCCAGGGACCCCCATAAACCCCAGGGACTCCAGCCCCAGCAGGGACCCCCAGGGACCCCAGGCCGAGCAGAGAACCCAGGGGACCCCAGGCCAAGCAGGGACCCCCAGGGACCCCCAGCCGAGCAGGGAACCCCAGGAACCCCAGGCTGAGCAGAGACCCCCAGGGACCCCCAGGGACTCCAGGCCGAACAGGGACCCCCAGGGACCCCAGGCCCAGCAGGAACCCCAGGGACCCCCAGGAACCCCAGGGATCTCCAAGAACCCCAGGGACCCCAGGGACCTCCAGGAACCCCAGGGACCCCCGGGGACCCCCAGGGATCCCCAGGGACCCCAGGGACCCCCTGGGACCCCCAGGCCCAGCAGGGACCCCCAGGGACCCCCATAAACCCCAGGGACTCCAGCCCCAGCAGGGACCCCCAGGGACCCCAGGCCGAGCAGAGAACCCAGGGGACCCCAGGCCAAGCAGGGACCCCCAGGGACCCCCAGCCGAGCAGGGAACCCCAGGAACCCCAGGCTGAGCAGAGACCCCCAGGGACCCCCAGGGACTCCAGGCCGAACAGGGACCCCCAGGGACCCCAGGCCCAGCAGGAACCCCAGGGACCCCCAGGAACCCCAGGGATCTCCAAGAACCCCAGGGACCCCAGGGACCTCCAGGAACCCCAGGGACCCCCGGGGACCCCCAGGGATCCCCAGGGACCCCAGGGACCCCCTGGGACCCCCAGGCCCAGCAGGGACCCCCAGGAACCCCCAGGGACCCCAGGCCAAACAGGGACCCCCAGGGACCCCCAGAGATCCCCAGGGACCCCCAGGAATCCCCAGGGACCCCAAGGAACCCCAGGGACCCCCAGAAACTCCAGGGACCCCAGGCCCAGCAGGGACCCCCAGGGACCCCCAGGCCCAGCAGGGACCCCCAGGAACCCCAGGGACCCCCAGGAACCCCCAGGAACCCCCAGGGATCCCAGGTCGAGTAGGGACCCCCAGGGACCCCCAGAAACCCCAGGGACCCCCGGGATCCCCAGGGACCCCCAGGGCCGGAGCCAGGACCAGCTCCCTCCTCCCCCCGCCACCACCCGCTGCTCAGCGGCATCCAAAAACCGCGCTCTGATTGGTCAAAACCCCCAACCCTCAGTGTCCAATCAGAGCGCGCTCTTTGGAGCCGGGCGGTTCAGCGTGCGCGCGCGGGGGGGGAGGCGTGGCTCGGAGCGCGGCGCGCCGTCTCAGCCAATGAGAAGGCGCGGCGCTGGGATACCTCATTTGCATACGGCCGGTATAAAAGGGGGCGGCGGCGACCGGTTCCTCTTTCATTCCCGAGACTCCCCAGCCCCGCAGCGCGATGCCCGAACCGGCCAAATCCGCCCCGGCCCCTAAAAAAGGCTCCAAAAAAGCGGTGACCAAGACCCAAAAAAAAGGGGACAAGAAGCGGCGGCGCAGCCGGAAGGAGAGTTACTCCATCTACGTCTACAAAGTGCTGAAGCAGGTGCACCCGGACACCGGCATCTCCTCCAAGGCCATGGGCATCATGAACTCCTTCGTCAACGACATCTTCGAGCGCATCGCCGGGGAGGCCTCGCGCCTGGCCCATTACAACAAGCGCTCCACCATCACCTCCCGGGAGATCCAGACCGCCGTCCGCCTCCTCCTGCCCGGGGAACTGGCCAAACACGCCGTCTCCGAGGGCACCAAGGCCGTCACCAAATACACCAGCTCCAAATAACGCCGCCCCGGAGGGAGAAACATCTAGAGGTGGCCCCACCGAGGAGACCCCCCCCCTTCGGGTTCCTCCTCGCACCCAACGGCTCTTTTCAGAGCCACCCCCTTTTCTCACCCAAAGAGCTGGCGTCGCTTCACCCCTTTTTAGGGTTTTTTATAAAGATTGGGACCGTTTGTGGGTCGCGTGGGGGGTCGGGGCGTTTTAACCGCTGGGTTTGAATCTGGTTATTTTATTTTCACTAAAAAAAACAGTGATTTTGGGGCTATAGTGGAGCTTTTTTTTCCTTCTCCCCCCTCCCCTGGGTTGTTCCGCCGCCGCTTTCGCCTTCAAACCGTTGCTGCAGCGCTCTGATTGGTCCGGAGGGGGGATGACGTCATTGCGTGGGCAGGTTTTCCCTCAGGTCCGTCTCGGGGCTCCAGAAAGCGGCGGGGG